TATTTATAATATAATATAATTATAATTTAAATTTATGTTATAAATATATATATTTCTTTTTTTTTTTCTTCCTTCCATAAAATATATTTTTATTTTATATATACTATATATTTTTGTTACGTTCCCCATGTCGGGAACAAAAAGTAGTGAGATTAAAGTTTTGTCCGACATTCGGTCTGAAATAACGTTAATCTTTATCCCTTTACACGACTAAAAATATTCTTTTCTCTGATTTTGGTCAACCTTCATTCAAATGCTTTACTTGGAATTGAGAGAAGCTCGATATTAAAAAAGAGTAAACTTCTCACTGATAAAAAAGATCATTATTATCATTTAATAAAACAGAAATACTGTATTAAAATAAATTAATACAGAAATCAAACTTAATTGATAAAACAGAAATTCAAGACTTAATTACGAAATAGAAATGGGAACTTTGTAAATTAATACAGAATAAGGGATTTACGGATTATTACGGATAACACACAGAAGTTTGCTACGGAAAATAGAATACTGCAACGGAAAACAGAAGTTATTAATAGAAACTTATTACTTACACAGAATGCAAACTTAATATCGAAAACTGAATAACAGGACTTACTAATTAAAACAAATATACCTGATTTACAGAAAAATCTTTAATTGTAAGTCCTATGTTCCAAGTTCAAAGTGATATATATATTAGATGTAAAAAAAGTAATTCAAAAAAGTGCGTAATGTCTCTGACCTTTTTCTGCTGCCACTTTTTAGATCAATTATTTCGTTGCATCGAATCAGTTTGCAGAATGTAAAACTTAGTTATTTGAGGACGATACGGCTCAAATTTACAGAATATTTATCGTCAGGTCCTTTTTAGTTTCTATTTTGAATTTTATGATCACTGATTTTGACAAAGAAAACATCGATTTTAGAAAATAAAAAGAAAACGTCCTGGGACGTAACAATATATATATATATAAGTTTATACAGCAAAATAATGTCATAATGTCTGACCATTCCATTCGTCTTGGTTCTGTTGTAATTATCGTTTCTAGGAGTATTCAACGATAAAACGAGTGGAACTTCCTTTCACTTGGCTTGGAAAAAGGAAGAATTCCGAGATACAAATATTTTATACCGTAATTAATATATGAAACCTGTTCGAAAAAAAGACATCACGTTAATTTGTTTTATCTCTCATAATTAAATAAATTCATTTGTCTAATAATATATTTTACACACAAAATTCATACGATATAAATTATATATTTATAATTAAAATCAAATTAATAATATTAATATTACTTATTTTCATTAATTGTCTATATAGAATAGATCACGTTTTGTTTTTACAATTGTATTATGTGAATTTAAGTTTATATTTGTTAAAAAAAAAAAATTATAGGCAATTGATGATGTAACAAAGTCATAGATAATTTTTTCAAATGTATGAGATCACATTCGCATTGTGATTATATTATTAGTGAGAAATTTCAAATGATGATGATGAAAAAGGTCAGTTAAACGATTTGCGAATATATTTGTTTTTTCTTTTCATTCCCATCGTCGTTAAGTATGTCGTTGTATTATCTCGGTGAAAGGATTCCTCTCGTAGCAAATATTTTGCTGTGAAAAACAAAACAAAAATTAATATATAATTAAAAGATGTAAAATAATAATATTAAAATGCATACATTAATAATGTTTTCCACGAATTAATTGGAATATCAGGGTTATTGAATACCATCCGATAATGATCGATAATAGATGACCTTATATGCATGTACATTTTGACTGAATTGGACACTTCATATACACAATACACATATGTACTTAAGTATATATGTATAATAAATGTACATTGGTGAATATAGTTTGTCGAATAAAATATTAATCAATAATCATTTATATTTAAATTAAATGTGTAATACTTATAAAACAAAGATGAAAATATATTTCATAATAATTACATTATCCTTAATCTTCCAAATCTTTCACATTTTAGCGAATAATATTAATCAATAATCGTCTACATCTAAATTAAAAAAGTAATATTTATAATAGAAAAAATTGAAAATATATATCATAATAATTTTATTATCATTAATTTTCGTGACAGATCGTGTAAACATATTTAAATATGTAACAATCGATTGATTTATGAAATAACGATTTAAAAATATTCGAGAATTTGAAAAAATGATCAAATGAGTATCAAATATAATGATTATAAATTATAATAATATATGATAAAATTAATTAAAAATATTATAGAATATGTTTATTTTGTTAAATGATTATTAATAATAATAAAAGAATATTCCATCGTTGGATAAAATTTAAACGTAGAAACGATCAATGCTACGACCATTCATCTTTTTCTTCGTTAAAATTTCACTGGTTGGATGAGTATATAATTTGAAAGTTGGTACTACTGTGGAATGGGAAGTGGGAACATCCAAATCCGGCTTGACGATTTACGGTGGTTTTGTTAAACTGAGGGCTTATCTTTGATAAAGTAATATATTCATATAATATGAAACGCAGAAAATATTTCCGTATTTGAATGTTCAATTATCGTATAGGTACGATACAATAACTTAAAGGAGTAAGTATCTGAATGTTCAACTTACTGTTTATGTATAACCTTAATGTCTTTGTAGTATGTCATTAATTCGATATCACATGAATTTCTATCTATTAACGTTAATTTTCATGACATATATCATATTATGTTATTATTAGTTTTTATTGTTTTTAATCAAATGCAATGAATATATGCGTAGTTATTGGCAATATCTTTCCAGCTGTAATATGAATTAAGCTCTTATTACATGATATATACATATATATATATATATATATACACATACACATATAATCTTACATTTAACTTAGATTCATCTTTTACCAATATACATTTATATAGTAATAAACACTCATGAAGGAATATTAACATTATTACATTATATTTCAGATAAGGGAGAACACAATCATCGGTCTGTAGATCATTACTAATGAGACGGAATGTTTGTAAGAGTTTGGTCGAGCATTCAAACGTGGAATGAATGAGGAAGAGTTATTGACACGGTCAGCTGCGGAGCGTGATAGAATATTCAGCTGCTATGACCGTGGCAGAGAACATGGAGCCCAAATCGATGCGTGGGAAGATCCTGGTTATGAAGTATATCATACTACCGATAGATATGGATTTATACAGTAAGTATTTTTTTTTAACATTTCATTGTAATATATAATTTATCATTTAACATCTTGCTTGCGCTTATGCTGTTGTCTTACAGCGATAAGAGATTACCACGAAGATTAGGTGCAACCGAAATAAGACTTGATCAAATAGAAATACAAAGATTGAAAAAATGGGAAAAAATGACTAAACAATGGGAGAGCTCGTCGACTAAGGAGAAATTACGTCGTAGAATATATAAAGGTATTCCAAATAGATTTAGGGGTCAAGTATGGACTTTATTATTAGGTATAAAAACTCTAAAGGAAGAACAAGCAGGCAAGTATGATGAAATGCTTAAACTTGCACGTCATTGGTCCACCGAAATTCGGCAAATTGATGCTGATGTTGCTAGACAATATAGGGATCATATCAATTATAGGTATATCATTTAAATATTTTTATCTTTATCGTTATTTAAGTTCCAGATTATAGGGTTTAACTTTTGTCATAGGGAGAGATATAGCATAAAACAGCGGTCTATGTTCTATGTGTTAGCTGCTTATAGTATGTACAATATGGAAGTAGGTTATTGCCAAGGAATGTCCGTTTTGGCTGGTTTACTTTTACTTTATATGGATGAAGAAGACGCATTTTGGGGTTTGTCTGTATTACTTGCCGATAAAAAATATAGTATGCATGGTAAGTATATCTGTAATAACTATTATTAATTATGCTTGAGTTTCTCTATTTTTCTTTCTTTTTTTTATAATCAATATAACAGCACGTATACGTGATATGTGTGTATTAAAGAAATAAGCATTCCTAATTTTTAGGCTTTTATGTTGATGGTTTTCCTAAACTAAATCGCTTCATCGAACATCACGATAAAATAATGAATAAATTTCTACCAAAACTAAAACGAAAACTTGATAAGTGTGGCTGCGATTCTATATTATACGCATTGAAATGGTTCTTTGTAGTTTTCCAAGAACGAGTAAGCACTGTGTTACGATATTGCATTATAAAAAAAATAATATATGCGTTAATAATTTCCAACTTCATCTTGTAGACGCCTGTTAGCCTTGGTCTTCGTATTTGGGATATATTTTTATTGGATGGCGATCGGATTTTACCTGCAATGGCATACACTATCATGAAAATGCATAAACGAAATTTAATGCCTATGGAAAGTCTCGATGAATTCTGTAATTATTTGCAAATTAAATTGGAACAAGACTTTGGTTTTATCGATGATGCGGTAATTAATACCATGGAACGTTGTATGGAAGAACTTAAACGTGCCAAATTAGATTATCCAGGCCCTCCTTTACCACATGAATTGCCACAGTATCCAGTTGGTACATTTAAAGAACCTTCTTTCACTAGCAAGGTATTAATAACGCAAATTAAATAAAATAAATTTAACTATAAAAGTATATAAGTACATTAAATCAATTACATTTATACAGGTTGGACGACGTAGTGAAGAGTTCAGTGAAGCACAGCATATGATGCGTGAATCAGTAGTACAACGAAGGGATATGGCTCTTGTCGAGGAAGGGAGAGAAAGTACAACGCCGGTTGATCCAAGTAGTGGTGGCCTTGGTGGTAAGTTTGAACCTAGTGACACACACAATAGCAGAGATAATACTATTTGTAAAACCGTATATAAGGGTGATGCAAATGAGAAGAGTGACACTGAAATTGATTCAGCAATTGATATTATACTTATATATAACACTAGATTATAAAGCAGAATTTTTAAATCTAGATTGAAGTTAGATGATATATATATATATATATAAAAAAAGAAAAAATCAATGATGATATATATTGAAATATATTTTGAAGTAAAAAGATCATTGTAATGTCTGTAATAAATGTAAATATATTTTTTACTTTCATAATACTTCTCTTGTGATATATGTATCAATTAAAGTTATAATTAATCAATTGATAGAATCATAAAAGAATTATCTACAGTGATGACATTATGAATACCTTTGCACGAACGGCGAATCCTCAAAAATACTAATACAAGCAATAAATTGTGAATGTATGTGCAGGGAGCAAATTCTCATTTGATCCAAGTCTTGACGATGGTGCGTCTCCCAATGGCTCACATCGGTCTTTGGCTGACACATCTGTTACCTCCACAGCTGATCTTTCTGTATTTAGTTCCGCGACACGGTCTCAAGCATTAGACAATAGTCTCGATACTCAGAGCAATGTTTCTAATGGTAGTTCTGGTAGTGGTGGTTTGCTTACACCAAGGGCAACGCCTCATCAACCAAGTCCTGATATTGTACGAATCTATGTACCATATACTTCACCTTCCGCAACTTCATATAAGGACGATCTTCCTCGTACCCTTCCTCGATCTTTAGAAACGAATAGAATCCGCATACGTGTTGATCCTGATCAAACTCCTATAGTTGAACACCTCAAGCCACTTTCTTTAGATAGTCCAGAGTTTGAATTAGATCTAAAATAAAAATAACAAATATAAACTAAACAACAAGCACTATAAATAATATTACTACAAACGAAAATAAATGAAATTAAATGTATGTTGTATATATCTAACAAGAAAGATATATATATATATATATATATATATGTATAGAAGAGTGATAATTTGAAACAAAAATATTATCGATATTACTGATATATTAATAATATGCAAATGGTTGCAAAATTAATAATAGTATTACATGGTACATCTTTATTGATTACAAAAGTTTAACTACAATTTAGTTATAAAGCTAATTTGCAATGACAAAAGACGATAAAGCATGGCAATGAAAAAATGAATATGTAATTACTACGTTCCTAATACACTATGAAAATGGTGTTCCTTGCTTTATTGGTATTTAGAATTTTCGTTTCATTTGCATTCCAAATATTATATTGCTTGCAACATTCAATTGAAGTACTATTGACAATGATCGGGAAGACGAATTCGAGAAAACGCTGCTCTGCAGGCAAAAGCAAGCGAGTTAAAAACAAATTATTAATATAAAAAAAAAAAAAAAAAAGAAATAAAAAATTCGCATCTATTTCTTTTATAATAGATCAAATATTATTTATTTATGTGCGTTTAGTGACTTAAAAAAAGTACATTGCTGTAAAGTGATTATATTAAGAAACAAAATGTACCATTTATTTATTTTCAATTCTTACGTTTAGTAACTTTATCACCTTAATGTATCATACACCGTGTTCTGCTTTAAGAAATGCAAAAATTTTAGTAGTAACGGTTTCTTTTCTTTATTTTTTCACAAATTTAGAATTGATAAAAACTTAGTGTATCTTTAATTTCATGAAAAGTCTATTGTTTTATATCTCATACTTATATTTAGTGCTAGATCTGAAATTTTTATTTACTTTTTTTTTATTTCTACGTTAGGATTAATGTTACGAACTGGTTATAATATTTATGGAAAAAAATCCGGTTTTAAATTAAGTATTATACTGCCGTAGAATTATGAAAATTTAATTACATTTAAGTTTTTTTTTTTCCATTATTATTCATGCACTATAAGGAAGTATATACTTTTGTAAATAAATAATATCCTTAGATATGTAAAAGTCGTTGAATACAATGAACGAGTTGCATCAAATCTTCACTAAAGAATGTGAATAATGAACAGTCTAGTGTTATACTTCTTCTATACTACTTAAACATTAAATGATATACTTATTGAGTGTAATTGGATTAAAATATACACATTTTTAATTTATAAACATTCCAATACACATGAACAGATTTTACAACAATTAGTTGTTATATTTAATAGTGAATAAGTAAAATTTGTTGATCAAATATTAAATGTTTATCGTGTTGTATAGATCTGGATGATTCAATACCATAAAATTGTATGACAATGCATTTGCAGATATATAAAAACAAGTCCTCATATATTACAAAAAATAAAAATTGTAATCAAAGTATTAAAAAATGCAGATTCTCATAAAAGGTATGCAAATTCATATATTTTTAAGAAGCAAAAATTGTACAAGTTGTATATTATAATATCAGACATTAGATAAAATAGAAGATCATTGAACATTAATAATATTTGAAGAATACATGTATAAACTATTATAAATAATATACAAATTGTATTAATTGTTCAAATTAAATATATTTAAAAAAAAAAAATTAATAATAAAATGACCAATGATCTTCTATTATCATTCGATATATTTTTCACTTGACTTATTTAATTGTTCAAAATGCAATATCTTCAAGAACTTATATTGAATTGTAATGACAGAAGTAAATATTACATTTCTAAAATTACAAAAAAAGTAAAATTTAAAAACTAAACGATATATTGAAATAAATGATAAAGAATGTAATTTGTTTATATCAATAGTAGTTAAAAAATAGAAAAATTGCATAAAAAACAGAAGTGGACCAGACATGTAAAACAATATGGTACTTAAAACTAGCACAATTTATTTCCAAAAATATGTTATCTAAAGTATAATCTTTTAAAGATCAACAGCTATATGTGTATATTATATTTTATAAATTATCTTTACTATTTCCATACTAGCAACATTTTAAATGCATATTTGCATTACATTTGTCATGCAACAAAAGGTCAAATATAGCACCTCTTAAAATTAATTATACTCAAAAAAAAATAAAAAAAAACGTTGAGAAAAAATTTAAGAAATAAATAATATGTATCTTTCAAATATAAAATAATTACTGTATGCAGTAATATTAATATCGACATAATATTGTTGAGTTAACAAAAAAAAGAGAGAGAAAGAGAGAGAGGGAGAGAGAGAGAGAGAGAGAGAACAAAATTAAGTGTATCTTAGTTGTTATTGCCTTTTTTATTTTTTTTTTTATCTTTTTATTAAAATATTTCAACATTAACATTATATAGTATAGAATACTCTTTTGGTATTATTCATTTTTAATTAATAAACTTGCAATAGAAACTAAGTACATATAATATATATATATATATATATATATTATTAATAATAAATGCATTCTGTGCATTATTCACATTCATATTGCAGCTTTAGTAGGTAAATTACAGTTCAAACTTACTACCTGGAAAAATATATATGTATAATGTATAAGAATATAGTCCAAGTCAATATTTTTTTTATACATGTGTCAAATGCAAAAACGTAGTATAAATTTCATGTATGATAAATTATTATTAGAAATGTAGGAAAATATTATGTACACATACACACACATACAATCTAATGATGCAATACTCATGTGTCTGCAAATGATTAATGCCTGACAAATCTCATTGTAAATTGACAAAACGCCCAAACAATAAAGACGCTGAAATAAAATTGATTTGGAATAATATTTTTTCTCGAAAATACTTTTTTACGAGACAAACGAAACTTTTCAATAAAAAAAAAAAAAACTTAAATGTATATATATAAAGCACCTCCGAAGAAGAATTTATTTAATGAAATGGAATCTTTTAATAAAAGGAAATTAATTTTTATAATTTCTATATTATAGTAAAAAAATTGTTTAAGTTATTTACGCAATGTTTCTAACTTTTGTTTAATTTTTAGAAGTCACCAATTAAATTACGAATGCATATTGGTATTCCTATTAAATATATATACCATGTACATACATGATTTACATATGTAATCTGTGATGGATTTTTAATATAAAGTTTATATTAGAATACATATCGCAATAGTAAAAATGATTTTCATTATGTCATATTGTAGAATACCTTATAAATTACAAATGAACACCATAATGTAACACATATGTAATTTAGGATTCATTTTTATTGCTCTCTTCTTAGTATTTATCAAAGTATCAATTTCTATTGGATTTTATCCGCCTTAAAGATATCATTATTAAAAGGTATCGCTTTTCCCTCAATAATTATTCGTGGACCTGTATAGTAACGCCATAAAAGACTGCTACCTCTCTTCAATTGATTGATACTTGATAAATGAGACCAACAATCCAACCAATTATTATAAATTGGCATATTGGGAGGAAGGCCAGCAACCAATCTTATAAAACAAAAATAATTTAATTTATATTTAAGAACTTTTTACAACATACATTATTATTAACTTACCCACAGTTATTTACCGCCATGCAATGATATACTACCAAAAATGGATAAGTAACGGTTGTTGCAATAAACTAAAAAAATATTTCATTATTTAAAATCTCTCTACATATAATATAATAATTATTTCATTTGTATTTGTGTATTTACTTTCATTGTGGAAGCTGTATAAGTTTTTAATTCTTGATCATGAATAACATATTTATTAATGACATAAGTCGATGAACTGACAAGAACTAAAACTGTAGCATTTGCAATGAGGCGTGGTACTATTCCTGCATAATATCCTGCAATTCCATTTTCCTTATACACTTCTATAAACGATCTAATAATTCCACTAAAATATAAAATCAGATAATTATATAAGTGTTAAAGGTATTTATTAATAATATTAACACTTTTTTGACATTTGTTATGTATATACGACATAGTGTTAATATATATTAGAATTAATATTTATTTAACTAACTTGTATTTTGTTTCACCGCCTACAAATTGTGCCATCATCCTTAACATTATTACATCCAATGGATGGCTCACTATAATTCCCACCATTCTACTAATTACGTCCCGTATCAGTTCATTAATACATCTTGTACGTCTGTAATATTGGTATAAATAACAAACATGATTACATGTATATTGAGATAGTTGTTGTCTAAACAAAATTCAGGCTTTACCTTTCTGGTTCTGATAATTCCTCATCATCTTTATTTTTGTCAGGTTCATCGCTAAATGTAATGCATTCAGAAGTTTTCTCAAATGCTACCGCACTGAGGGTATACGCACAAAGTTTAGGTACCAGTCCCCGATAACAACCAGTAAATCCATCAACATTTTTGATATATTTAACTGAAACAGTAATAATATAAACGAATTATATTTAACAAAGTTAAAAAAAATATTTTAAACTTTTATAATACTTTAAACTTGCCATATTGAAAAACGTTAGGTAAGGATAATGCTGGTTTTCCAAATAATGTTACTGTTTGGCGTGGCGAAATAGGTTCATGACCAATCTAAAATTAATAAAAAGATATAAGACTTTGATCTTTTCAACAGATATAATTTAAAAACATATATTACAAAATATATAAAAGTCAAGTGTTTATAATATAACATATTTTCTTATTTTTACTTATAGAATAGCTGAAAAAAAATTTTCTGGAAAGAATTAGAGCACTCTATACATAAAAGTAGTAATTATTGGTGAATGAATGAATAGAAAGAGTGAATGAATAAAATAGTTTAAAATAGGAGATTGTTTATATTGAGAGATTGAGAAATAAAAATATATAATAATATTACAAATATATATATATTAAGTACCTGTATTAAAACTTTTGCATAATCAACTGGATGTGACATCATATTTATGAACATACGAATAGGTATGTTAGACCATACATTTTCTCTTTGCGAAATCATAATTAAATTGACGAGTTTGTTTTCACTATATTATTTGTCTGAAAATATGAATAACATAATAAGCATACAGACAAATTATTAAGAGACTCTTAAAAGTGTAACATAATAAAATTTATCAGAATAATATATACATACATGTGTTTAAATATCGAAGAATAAATATGATCTTAATAAGTATTTCTTTTAATATATTTCATGGAATTAGTTAAAATTATTTTTTAATAAATAATTTCTTGATTTGCAATCTCGTAATTGTTCGATATCTAGACTAACAGTATCTTCCTTTTGAAACTTAAAGCACCGAGTATAAGATAAATGTGATTTGTTTGTACTGTCAACGGTTATCAAAAGATTATCATCAATAGTATCATTTCGTATATTTAATCTGTAATTGAAAATATTGTTTCTAATAATAATTCGATAAGTTTCATATTAGGTATTATCGAAATGTAATAAAATATTAGTTCCATGTTCTCTGCGATTCTACTATTGTAAAATAGTAAAATTGCCGATCATATTCTGAATTTATTCACTTGAACTTTACCCCATAAACGTGGTACAGAAATAGATCGGAGGAACCACCCAACCAACTCTAACGACATTCTATTATTCAGTATTACCAAAATTATGGAAACGAAAGTGAATGTTAATGTTCGTATTCGAGTTGTTTAAAAATTTTTTAAAGTAACGTAATTATTTTACAACTATAAATTATAACTTAATAACACTATAATTCTTATATAATCGATGATCAAATTCGAATAAATTAATTCGCGAGAATATTTAAAAAATACTGCTAGTCGTAAAAAGATAAATGTATACACGTTTATAAATCTTTCGAACAGTCTTTATACAATACAATAATTTTCTTTCCTTTTTGAAATTTATATTGTTTATTTAATTGACGTATTACAATCGAGTTTACCAACTTGGTCGATTGATACGACTTTAATCGATTTCAACTTTATCGCGACCAATCAAATTTAACGAAGGATTATTATTATTATTTCGAGTAAGCCAACGCAGAAGAAAGAAATATCATTACATATTTTATCTAGGTTAGTATTTTGGATAATATCACTGAAAAGTGATTATTGGTAAGAAATAAAGAGAAAGAAAGGAACAAAGAAACAAAAAGAAAGAAATTGTTTTTATTGGTTTGTATCTCTAACATTCGATCCAGCGAAATCTTCCGATGGAATGTTTTTTTGAAATAATGTTTTTTTAATTTGTTTTTTTTTTTTTTGTTTCTTTTTGTGAAGTGATATAAAATGATAATAAAATTAAATAAACATTAACATCTATCGATATAATTTCAATTACATTCGTACAAATTCACATGTTATAAAGTCCGATTTAACATATGACGTATATTCAACTTGACAAAGGCATATATCATTTTAGGTCAGCTGATCCAGTTAATATTATATTATTCCTTATAATACAATGGAGTAATTTTGATTGGATTAATCGTTATGTGAGTTTTGTGATTAATTTAATCGTATCTTTGACAATTTAACAAATTCAATAACTTGGATTAATAATAATAACAATAATAGCAATAGTAATAATAGTAACAGTATGTATAAATTATAATAAGATTAATAGTAGTCGCAATATCAAGAAAAAAATTAATTGTGGTGCTATTTCTTTTTTTTTTCTTTTTTAATTTTGAGCTAAATTATGTATATCTAATTTAACATTACGTATTTTGTTTTAGGTACATAAGTTATGTAAACGTAATCATACATGATGCAAGCCTCATTAGCAGCAACTCCTCGAAAATTTCCTGCTTTCGTCTTCCCTGCGGATCTTAAATTCTATTTAGAGGATCAGTCTAGTCATAAACAAATTTTGACTTTATATAATCCATATGATTTCCCAATTAAATTTAAAGGTATATATATATATATATATATATATATTTTATTAAACTTTAGAGTAACAAAGAGGTAGATAATATCATTTATAATATAATTTTTTTCATAATATATTTTTAGTGCTTTGTACCGCTCCAAATAAATATGTAGTTGTTGATCCGGAAGGAACGATAAAAGCAAAATGTTGCGTTGACCTTGTTGTAAGACATACGGCTCTCTTAATTAGTAATTGCAATGTGACAGATAAATTCAGAGTGCATATGCAAGAACATCCGAATAAACAAGTAATAATATTGTACAATAATAGTATTGAGATGTTGATTCTTTAAAACATATTTGTGTGTGTGTGTGTGTTTTGTATACTAGTTATTATTTTATATTTATTTTTTGAAAAAATTTTTCAAGGCAACGGGTAAACGAGATGTTGAAGCTACACTTTTTCCTGGAGTCGCACCAATTGTTGAAAGAGCAACTCCAGATCCAGAAACGTTTCAACAACTTCCAATAAATGGAGCTAGGCAACAACAATCATATTCGCTTATAACCCAAAATAGAACAATTAATAGTGAGTATAAAAGTTATATTTAAGTATGGAGTTTCCCAAAGATAACTGAAAGGTATGGTGCGATTTAAAACAGCGAAATAGGTTTTTTTGAGAAGTATTGCATTTTTATCTCTGTCCCACAACTATAATTTATAATTACAGACACCTCACTCAAGATACATAAAAACTTATCACAATTGCAGTATGATTTATTTCATGGAGAAATTCAAGATAAAATCATAAATATGAAAAATGCCAATTATATCATTAAGGATAAAGGTTAATATGTTAGTATTTGAATTTAGTTGCTGATCTATTAATGCACTGCAACACTGATGAAACTGATAACTTATTTCAATTTTCTTATATATTATTTTTATAAGAAGTTACAAGAAATGAAGTACGTTACACAGACAATTCTCATTAGAATAACAATAGAACGTAGATTCTTTTTCTTCTTTGCCATATTTTTCAATATTCTTTCTTTGAAAAAATACAATAATTACATATGATTAATAGCTTGTTTTTTTCTTCTTCTAAATTTTCCATTAACGTAAACGATATTTAATATATACATGTTAACTAAATATCTCAGCAATACTTTCCTTTTTTTGGAAAACTATGAATATACAAGTTCGAAGAATATAATTATTTCCAGCATTTTATAATATAATTGTAATTATTCGTATTTTGAATACTTATAGTTATAATTATACAATGCTTTAAATTAGAAACAATTTAAAAATAACATCTAGTTTATATAATGTTAATATTATGGTAGTGTATGTATATATACATATATATATATATATRACAAAAACTAATATTATCAGAGTGACGAAATATAAATTACCTTTCAGGTGGAACAAACTATGTAGCAGTTATTGCAGGAATTGTTTGCATAGCTGGACTACTCTTGCCTACAGAAGGAGAAGCTAGACCTTCAGTGCCTGATTACCTCCATCTTTCTATTAATTTTAAATTAATATTTTCCTTTGTATTAGGTGAGTAGCGCTTATTTATTTTTTATTAATTATATTCTATATATAAAATATAATTGCTTTACAGGTATGGTAACAATGATAACCTTTAGGTTGTAATTCGTGGCTGCTTATATAAAGATAAAAAAAGACTTTATACAAGTAATAGGATTATCGGGTGACAGCACAATTATAATGCATATTTTTTGTTTGTTTTTCATATATTAAATGTCTTGTCTTTTTTAACTGTATGGTTTAGACTACAAGTATTATGTAGCTAGACTAATTTTTGAGCACTTTCGAAAATTTCATATAATTTTTTTCATATTTTTTTTACTTTTATTTGATATTGTTTTTCTTTTCATTAATTATAAATCTTATCGTAATTAATCATTTTTTATCAATGATCATAAATATTATGCATATTTACGTGATGCATCACCAATCCTTTTTTATGTATCGAAAAGAAATTTGCTTTAAACGAAATAATCTAGTTTTGCAGCTTAAGGATTCTTCTACGTGCTCTAATTTATAATCATTTTAATAATAATACATTCTAAAAAATATGATCTCATATACATATATGTAAATATATATCTTCCTATGTTAAGTAGAGAGGTTGCCATTTTAAAATTCTTAATAAAAAGAATTATATAAAATGTCAATAAAGATATCTTTGTATATTATAAAAAATAATACAAATCAATTTGATTTATAGTTTTTCTTATATTAGAGAAAAGAAACAATTTCTTTTAACAATATAAATATTTCATAAGACTGATTAGTCAATTAAGTTACAATATATCAATTTTTTAAATAAAAGTATTCAGAAAACCATTAGCAATGTGTATTTATTATTTACATAAGTTACAGTGATGACACTTGTGAATAAAGTGGTAAACCACACAGTTGTTTAGCCCAATTCATTACTGGCAAAATATTCTGAACATCAAAACTGCTACCACGTCACAAGTATCTGTTAATATAATAGTAATACGGTCAAATAAATAAAATAATATGAGTAATATTTGGCAAGAAATATCTAATTTACCTTTAAATTCATCACAAAGTGATTTAACTTTATCCCAGTCAGATTTTCGTAGCTCTAAAGCCTATGAACATTTTTTAAACTCTCGTTGTGAGTCTTATATTCCATTGACGCGCTTGTTGGAAGATGTAACACTCTCCTAAGTGTATCTCTAATTCTTGCTGTCGTTGCAACATCCGATGCTGTTTTGTTCCAAACACAAATGATATCCTCCTGTATTTATTCGAAATAAATGTGATCAAAGTATATTTGAATGAGAATAAAATGAAAAGGTTATATACGTCATTAATTATTCTTACTTGGAATCTTATGGAAACCACAGCACCACATATTTCCTCCCCTACCATAAACTGTTCACCTAACATTGCTAAAATTAGATTCTCCCAACATCTCGACACCAAACCTTTTCTTAATCTGACTATCCATTTACCACCTCTTTGGTTTGCTTCGTCCTAAAATCCAAGGATTTTTATCGTATATACTTTTATCGTAATTAATTGAAATATTATCATTCTTAAAATAACGTGAAGAAATATAATATATGTAATTGAGATGAACAAAACTTACTTCCCACATAGGCTTAATTCCCACTTTGAATAAATGGAAATCTGTGTGGTTGGTTAACTCTGATGGTCTGACTAAATGACTATACAATGCCCAAAATTGTTCCACACTTGCAAACCTACCAACCAATTTCAAATTTTGGTCGTAAGTCTGTATGCTGGTTTGTTTACCAGGACAACGTCTACTGTACCATAACGCGTATGCATATTGCAATTTGTGCTCTTGAGGACTTATTTCTGTAGGAGGCTATACATAAACAAAACAAACAATGTGATTTATATAAAAGCGCGCGCGTATAAACTAATAAAAAAAAAAAAATCTTTAAAAAATATAAGCTAAACCAAATTTCTACTCACTAATATATCTTTATCAACTTTGTGACTTTCCTTTGATTGAGTATCTTCATCTCCACTATCTTCATTGATTTTTGATCTACAAGAATATGATCATCATTCATAAAATATGTTTCTTCCGTTCGATATTTAACAAAAAAAAATAAAAACAAAAAATAAATAAATAATTATTTTATTTTTATTTTATACTAATTCACAAAAATAATGCATCTGGACACAATTTTACAGATAAAAACACATTTAAATTGATTTTTATAACACATAATGCACTGTTGATTAGATAATATTTTTTGGGGATAACTTTTATTTTTTTTAAACACAACAAGACTACAAGTAAACGAGCTTCGAAGATACATTAGAAAATAGAAGATAAAAAAAGAAATAAATAAAAAAAAAATTAAAAGAAGGAAAAGGAAAAACACGAGTCAATACAAATGATGTTGTGACAAATGTCGTGTTTTATAATCCACTGGATATTATTAATCGAAGCACTGAAAGTCCACATCGAATTGTAACTCGTACACGATTGTTCTAACAATAGTTGATTCATATCATCAGTAGGATTAATATTTTACTCGAGTTATTTTGCATTGAGTATGAATCTAACCTCCATCGAAAGTTGATTGTGAATAATACGACGATGTAATCAGAGAAACACTATAGTTTCACTTACGCCTCAAATTTATTCGACATGTTTCTTGAAGAGGTATAAATGTGTATAATAGAATATTAATAAAATACTGTAAACGATATATTTCAACAAGTAGGAATATAAATACAAAATTTCAATTGTTGATCTCTCTCTCCTTCTCTTTAGCACATATATATTGCATTAACAAGTTTATTCTCTTCAAGTTGGCTATACTCTAATATTTTACTAGAATTACCTAGCTTTCATTTATTCTTATTTACTTTTTTTTATTGAAAAATCGTGAATTATAAGATACGTAAAAATATAAATAAATACATGATACCATCGTAAGATAATAGAGCAATCCATTAGAAAATGATAAAACAAGATAATTGGTAAAATAACAATTGCTTTTTTTGTATTTTCTTCCAAATAATATTTTAGTTATATATTTTTATTTCTAGGGAAAAACGATAACCCCTTTTCTTATATTTTACTGTAATCGTATGGAAGTTTGTTTTTTCTTTTTTTTTAAATAATCTTTATTTTAACAAATACATTTCAATTATTATCAAAATATAATAATGAAATATCTTAGAAGAGATGGTTATAAATCAGCCAAAAACTAATAACACGGACAAAATATGACAGTTTATATAATAGCAACAAGTATTGCCTAGATATAGAAAATAGAGCGTGCAAACTGTGTCACAGAGAGATAACAATAGAATATTTAAAAAATAGAAAAAAGTAGGAATGTTTAGTAGGAATGAACAGGAATGAATGATAGAGATGAATGAAAGAAAAGAATTTAAACAAAGTTTTATAAATCCAAGTCTAATTAATAAATTTATATATACATATATGTACATATATTTATCTGGAAAACACATGATATAGATCTTTATAAATACATGGGTGAGTTAAAAAGTTTTAAGGTTAATATAGAAACCATTTTTTTCGGTCTTTATATAACTTACTTTTTAAAAGATTTATAAAAAGGCTTAAAACTTTTCAACCCGCCCTTGTATATATTTTGTATATATAAAATCTGCATATAAAAAATACTTTTGTTAAAAAATGACAAAATAATCAAGACTAGTAATTATTTCAGTGTTAAAAATGCTACCTTTAATCGATTCATTATATCTTTTCGTTGTTCTGTAGCTTCTTTGTCACATAAATATTTAACCGTAATCGGACAATGATATTCCACGCTTTCAGTGCATCTGGTGTTTGTTTCCTCATCTTTTTGGAATTTAAATTCTGACGTTGACTTAACTGAAATTTAAAAGAAGAAGAATCTAGATCATTGAAAAATAAAATCCAAACCTCATGAAAGTCATATTACACTTCAATTTTACAATTATAATTTTCTCTTGTTTTGTCACTCAGAGTTGGTTTACCATACCGTTTTAATTTCACTTTACAATTTTTTTGAAAATAATGCTTTTCCTCTATTAAGAAAAATACAAAAAGAACCAAATAAAACAACTTACCACATATGAAACCAAAAAAACAAGTGTTATGATTCGAACTTATTAAATAAGTGTCGTTTTCTGTTTTTATAGAGAAATGGCCAACACCGAAATTCTTTATAAATGGCAAATAACGTAAATGTTCAGTATATTCTACGGAATATTGCCAATGCTCATAATTTCCGCTTTCAGCGATGATGTTAAAGTCATCTCTAAAATTTGCAATTTTTCGTTACATCTTTTTAATTAATAAATAAATATATACGAAGGTGAGTTGAAAAGTTTTGAGCTTATTTTCTAAAAGTGATTTTAAATATGGTTTCATTTCGAAAAATAAAAGTTAGTTTGATCGAAAAAAAATTGTTTCTATGTTAAGCTCAACATTTGTAACCCATCCATGTATTTTTATATGTTATATATATATATATATATAATAATTAAAAATTAAAAATTATGATGGTACTATACGTACATTAGTGGATTCAGTAGTTTCATGTTGCTAAAATCTGCTACAAATTCCCATACTTTAATGGGATGTACGTTTTTTATTACACCAACGCTTTGTATTCGATTAGATTTCTTGTAAATAAAAATAAAATAAAAAAGAACGACTGTTGTTATAGTTAATATCAAATTTTTGGTCTTCCATCTCAAAGGATTTACACTCATTTCTGAAAGAAAATAGTTATTATTATATTGTTAATAGGATTATTTTTTAATCGCTTACTTTAGTAATATTTTATTTTAAATACTTGCTTCTTTAAGATCAAATTTTTCCAAATAATCAAATAAACCTATAATTTCCGGTAGTGATAACACATAACAGAAATTTCTATTTTCGACATTCACACGTTGACCGTATCTATGCAACTGTTGACTTTGCTAGCTTGTAGTTTCTTTAAATATTTTAAATCCTTATTAAATGCCTTTCTCAAATTCCTCTTACTAAGCAAATAAAAATAAAAAATATGATTTGATATTTACATTATCGAATCGAAAATAATCGTGAAGATAATATACATAATTTATACAAAATGAAATACAAATTTTTGACAACTGTAGATGAATACTTACATATACAAGGTGTCAAAAAATTAACTTAAGTATATATTTATGTAAGTACTCAAGTAGTAGTCCTAAGTAATTATTTGAAGTGGCGTATATCGCGGGCGTATACTTTTTTAACATTACAATTGAAGATTAACACACATCTTGAAATAAAAAACAAAATATTTTATAATTCTATTAATAGAGAAATATTTAGTTTATTGTTTTCCTTATTTTTGTAAAGTGATTTTTAAGAACACTGTATACAGGTTTTCAAGGCTTTCTTGTTTTTCAAAATGCCGCTAGGTAGCGCAGTAGTATCTTTAAAAGAAAAATTAAAAATAGCGGGAAAATTGATTTTAAATAGTTAATAATTCTTCGTTCCAATTGTGATATTTGTTAATGTGAGATGTATGTACGTATAAGTATATCTTTTATTAGTTAGAACAAGTAATACTTTTACTATAAAAATGTCAAGATGGACCATCATTCTAATTTAGTCACGAGAAATAAAAAGAAACATTTTTATCAATAATATACAGACTTTTTGTTCGCATTTCAACATAGCCGTTTATAAATTTAATAATTCTTTTTCTTTTTGAATTCAAACATTTTTGTACACTTGCACAAAAATTATCATTTTTTGTATATAGCTGTTATTACATTGAAGCACTAATTTGATGAATTTATATTAAAATATTTTATCTTTTTCATTGTTACAGAATATTATAATTACTGCAATTAGCATAATAACGGAACCCTTTTTGTGAAATAAAACTATACATTTATAACAAGTACAAATTAAAAAAACTTATGTTCACTTATGACTATATATACAACTATCAGTGAAACCAGAGAATATAATAATTAATTGTTTTATGTAGAACATATAATTTGTAATAGCGATTTAAATAGAGTTTAATCCAAAAAAACTCGGGAGTCACTGATATTTTTTTACTATAACTGTTTTTTTTATTTAGATTCAGAAAAATAGTAATTGTTTTTGTATGTAACTTTAAATATAAGAAATTGATCTTTACATATATAAAATCTAACTATCTTGCTTTCTAAGTTTTATTTCTACTTTGTGTAGGATAATTAAAATTACTATAATTTTAATTAACGAACGAACTAATGAACTTGAGCTTGCGTCTCGATGTATATCGGAATATAAAAAATCTATCACTTTTGTGCAACCAATTCCTTATCATTTTTGTGAATATTTGATAAATGTATACACATATCTTTTAATATGAATTGACATTTCAGGCAGCATCAAATTACATAGACTCATATATATATATATAAATATACGTATTTATGTGTATATAAATATTTCAAATTTTATGCTATTATAACACATCATTAAAATTATAAATATTCTAACAAAGATGAAAGAAAAGAAGAAGAAGAAAAGAATGTAATAAAATATAAAAAATTATGTACTTTCTTTCTTTTTTTTTTTTTTTTATACTTTAAAATGCTTTCGATATTTGATGGTTTGCGATTGGTAAAATTTTAACGAAGACAAAGAACACATATAATACAAAAATAATGTCATACAGAGGGATTCTGTGTTGCAACGAATTATGTATATAGAAAAATGACTAATGAATGTTTCTGTGGCTCATCTTATTCGATGCTTAAAAGAAGATCATCTCCTTCCACTCTCATTCCTTGACTGACATCTAATGTCTTGATTTTTCCTGCTTTCGATGCCTGTACTACCATTTCCATTTTCATGGCAGATAAGACAATCAAAGGTGCACCTTTTTCTACCGTGTCACCAACTTTGACTCTGATATCAATAATGGTACCAGGCATAGGAGCTCCTATTTGATTTTTATCACCTTTCGCTGCTTTTGGATGTACGTGTAATTCCTGAGAAATAATTGAAGCATAAAATTATTATCCACTTCTATTTAGTCAGTATTCTTTAAAATTTTATAATAATTATAGGATTGCGTGTTAGGATTACATTATCGATATAGAATATATACTCTAATGTTGTATTGTAAATATTAATAATTATTTAAATTTAGTATAAAAAAAATTAAATAAAACTCTCTCTACCTTAACAGCTTCTTTATCCTTGATGAATACAGATCTCAATTGTCCATTCATTTCGAAGAATACTTCACGTTCGCCATTTTTCGTAAGATCTTCAGCAACAGCCAAAGTTTTTAAGGCTAACGTTTTTCCCTTTTCTATAGACACGTCAAATTCTTCTCCTACCTTTGGCCCCGTTAAGAATATTCTAGTTTCAAGTTTGTCAACAGGACCAAATTGTTCCCTAAAGTTTAAGTAATCGTTCGTCACGCTGGGATATAGGGCCGCAGACATAACATCTTTTTCCGAAACATGTGGATGGGATTCTTGCAATTCTTTCTTAAGTTTTGCGAAATTAAGAGGTTCCAAATTAGCTCCTGGTCTACCTTTTACTCTTGGCATATCTTTCAAAACCTTAGATCTGAAAGGTTCAGGAAATCCTCCGTGAGGTTCACCTATCGCACCTTGAAGGAATTCAACTACCGATTTTGGGAAAGACAGTTCTTCGGCTTTGTTAAGTACATCTTCAGAAGACAGTTTGTTTTGTACCATGAATTGCGCTAAATCACCGACTACCTTCGAACTAGGTGTAACTTTGATGATATCACCAAGTAATAGATTTGCTTCTCTATATGCTTTTTTAACATCTTCGAAGAATTGACCCAATCCAAGGGAATACGTTTGGAATTGTAGATTCGTGTATTGACCACCAGGAATCTCGTTTAAGTATACATCGGCGTTTCCTGATTTCATCGTCGTAGTACATTCGAAAGGAGCATACAATGTTCTTGTTTGTTCCCAATAAGCTGAATATTCCGAAACATCGCTGAGATCCAGATTAGTGTCATTAGGTGTACCTAAAGTTTTGTATATAAATTTCTCTTTCAAAAAGATCTGTGTATTACAGTAGAATATATTTATTAAAAATTGCAAATAATTTACCCTGTAATGCTGCAACAATAGCTCCCATGGAAGGTTGACTAGTCATTCCAGACATGCTGTCAACAGCAACATCAATAACATCTGCTCCACTTTCGACACAAGCTAGCATAGATGCAACACCGACCCCAGCAGTATCGTGAGTATGGATATGAATTGGTATATCAGAATTTTTTTGTCTAATAGCGTCGATCAACATTGCGGCAGCTTTTGGTTTCAAAAGACCTGCCATATCTTTGATCGCTAGGACGTGAGTGCCAGCTTTGATTAATTCATCCGCCAAATTGGTGTAATATTTAAGATCATATTTTGTACGATTAGGATTACTGACATCTCCGGTATATGAGATTGCGGCTTCTACGATTCCACCGGCTTTACCTGCTGCTTCCATTCCTGAACAATATATTAATTCGTTAAAATTATAATTGTTCATTAAAAAATAAAAATATATGTATATTTAACATATCTATTAACAAGAAAATAATCTTACCGATGATCAAGTTGGGCATGTAATTCAACGAATCAAATACCCTGAAAACGTCAATACCCAATTGAACGGATAATTCGCAAAATTTAAATACAACGTTGTCCGGATAATTCGTATAACCAACTGCATTGGCACCTCTTAGTAACATTTGGAATGGAATATTAGGAATCGCTTTTCGCATATCTTCCAAACGTTCCCAAGGGCACTCGTGTAAAAATCTTAATGCTACGTCAAAGGTTGCACCACCCCAGTTTTCCAGGGAATAAAGCTTGTTGAATTTGTGTGCCACGAAGGGTGAGATCGTTAAAAGGTCGTGAGATCTGACTCGAGTAGCTAAAAGAGATTGATGAGCGTCACGGAATGTCGTGTCCATCAGGAGCGCACCTTTGTGTTGACGAATAGCTTTGGCAAATGCTTCCGGTCCTTGTTCCTTATAGATATGACGGAAACCTTTTGGTGGTTCCATAACTCCTGTAAAATTTACATTTCGTTTAATTGATATGATCTTTTATTTCTTTTTTTTTATACCCCATAAAATAGAGAAGAACGTGTTAACGTACTTTTAGTGCTTTCCATGCATGAACACACATAAGCAGTGATGAAACAAGTGGACAATCACAATGTTTGTAAATTTAAAGCTGCAAGTGATACGCACCGTTTACATGTATATTATATTTGTTATAAATGTATTTTTGATCATGCAAAGATAATATCCAAAAGATCGTGTTGTAAATATATAAAAAAAAAAAAAAACAAAAAATCTTCCTATTTGCCAATTATTTTTGTATATGAAAAATGTATACATACTTTTTTATATCGTCACACAATTTTCTATCTACTTATATTTTTAAGATGATATTCTTTTGTATTTCGTTCATACATACATACATACAACAATTCACACACACGCGCGCGCTCGCGCGCGTACATACATATTTTGCTGTGTTGTAGATAATATCTTTGAAAATTATATTGCATCAATAATATTTAGAATCTATATTAATTAGACTAAAAGATGATTATCGAATCATTTTTAAAAGCTATGAGCATTTTTCAATTTTTTATGTACAATAATGAATGGATATACTTGATAACAAGTCTATAAAAATAACAAAAAATGAATCAAATTAATTGTTTGCCTACCTGGTGCATCTGGATCATTGCTTTCCTCTGCAGCTGCAAGCTTAGCAAAGTCTAAAAATATTGCCAAACAATAAAATAATAAAAGCATGCGATAAACAATGTGAAGTGTAATAAGTTACGAGGGACCATTAATTTCTAATTATTAACAATTATCCGAGGTGCGGTGAAATTTAATTAAAAATATATATCTACCATTAACGATTTCGTTCTTTTCAATTCATAGATTTATAACGCACAACTTGGATAAATCGTTTAATTGCTTCATTATTAAGCATGCTCGTGACATTTTTTTAAATGAAATTTTTAATCACAAATGTTGTTGTCACCTTCGTTTAATAAGTTTCAAATTAAATCGAAGAAAGATCGAGATGAAATAATTATAAATCAGAAATACGATGGTATGTGAGCATGAGCGAAATTAAAAAGAAAAAAAAAATAAAAAGAAAAGGAAAAAAGAACAAAATAAATAATAAAAAAAAAAAAGGAGTGCACTTTAACGCAGAGTGCAATGGTGTTGCGTACGATGACCTGGTGCGGATAGTGCGAACGATAATAAATATACGTATAAGTGTGAACAACAAATTTGTCCAATTGTTTGCCCATCATCATCATCATCATCATTACCACCAATCATCAGATAAAGCAATACGTTTCATTTTTTATGGGCTAAAAATAGGGTGTCTGTCATAATAGAATGTTATTAGCGATAGTAAGATTTGGATTAGCAAAGAATGAGTTCAGATTATATGCACACGACATTAAAATCACCTTATAAGAAATCTTGATCACCTTCCGGCAATCGTTACCGGGTCAATAGAAGAGAGAGAAAGAGATATATAGATAGATAGATAGAAATAAAGACTAGCAGACACCCTAAAGGCGAAGTAAGAAAACTTATGCTCCCATTTATTACGGACCCACATTTGTATTAAAGCGTATCCCCTTCCGTTGATCTTTAGCGTTTGAAACTCGTTTTCCACTTGATAGACTAGATATCGTTATAAACGTTTTCTTTTTTTTTGTTTTCTTTTTAAATCTTTCGAATTAGAATAAAAATCATAATAATAATAATAATAATAATATAAATACAAACGCACAAACACTTTTGTTAAATTTTCAAACGTCATACCTAATGCAATCTGTGGAACGTGAGGTTTGATTTCTGCAGGTTTCAAAGAAGTAGCCAATGGTGTGCTAGGTCCATTAACGAGAACGGTTCCTAAATAATTCAATAACTTTTGAGCACGATTTTGGCTCGGTTGAAATTGAAACAATTGTGGATTCTCGTCAATGAAATATGTGTCGACGTTTCCATTAAGAAATTTTTGATTTTCCAATACGTTAAGTAAAAATGGTATGTTAGTTTTAACACCGCGAACTCGGAATTCGCGTAATGCGCGATTCATCTTTGCGCAGGATGATTGAAGGTCTCCGGCATGAGCGATCACCTATTAAAATTAAGGGAAAATATTATACTCGTTTGTATAGAAAATTTCATTATTATCGATTTGCAATTGTCGTAGGTACCTTAACAAGAAGGGAATCATAGTATGGTGAAATAATAGCACCAGCGAATGCAGATGCACCATCCAATCTTATTCCCATACCCTCTCCCGATCTGAATACTTCAATTCTTCCAGTATCTGGTTGGAAATTCTTAGCTGGATCTTCAGTTGTAACCCGACACTGAATGGCGAAACCTTGAGGAATAATTTTCTCTTGGGTCATACCAAGCTCTGGTAAAGTGATCCCTTCAGCTATACGTACTTGAGATTGGACAAGATCAATCCTAAAACATATATATAGTATTGTATAACAACGAATCATTTGTTTTATAACTCGTATCATCGTATAAAAGACAATTTTCAAATTACCCAGTGATCTCTTCGGTAACTGTATGTTCAACCTGTAACCTAGCATTAACTTCAATGAAATAAAAGTTTCCTGATTCGTCTACGAGAAACTCAACGGTACCGGCATTCGAATAACCAACGTGTTTAGCTAATTTTACTGCATATTCTGTCATCTTGTCTCTTACTTTGGGATCCAATCGTGGTGCCGGTGCAATTTCCACGACCTATCAATTTGTAAATATAATTATTTCAATTGATATGCATCAGGTATAAAACGATCGATGATTTATCTCACCTTTTGATGCCGACGTTGAACCGAACAATCTCGTTCGTAAAGATGAACGACATTACCGGCTTGATCACCGAGTAATTGAACTTCTATATGCCTTGGCCTTTCGATAAATTTTTCTATAAACATGGCACCGTCTCCAAAAGCTGCCTTTGCTTCGGAAGACGCACGTTCGAACATTTCTGGAACCTCTTCCATTTGTCTGACAACACGCATACCTATCGATTCAGTTAAATCATATCGATTCGATCATTCCTCGTTCAGTAATGAATAAGAATTTAATAACGAACAAAAATAGTCATCAATTACTAGGGTCTACCTCGCCCTCCACCTCCATAAGCAGCTTTGAAAATGACGGGAAGACCATGTTTCATGCAAAATTCCATAGCTTCATCGGTTGTTCTCACTGGACCATCCGTTCCTGGAACGATTGGTACTCCAGCTTCTATAGCAGCTATTCTAGCTGCTACCTAATTACAATAATTATCTTGTTCAATTTGAAATACATGTTTTCACGTAATGACAAAATATTTATTTTGGATAATATAATTTAATTTTAATAAAATTATCTCATTTTATTATTATTGTTTAACCTTTTTTTTAAATGAATATAAAATTAGAGATGATATTAATATTTAACGTAATGTGATATTAGATTTAACGTAAATGCAATAGTTTATTATTTCATTGTATTTGTAGAATTCTTATACCTTGTCCCCCATTTGTTGAACAACTTTCGGACTTGGTCCAATGAATCTCAACCCAGCATCTATCACAGCTTGAGCAAAATCTGATCTCTCGGATAGAAAACCATAGCCTGGATGAATGGCATCTACATCATTCTCTTTAGCAACTTGTATAATCTCCGGGATATTAAGATATGCCTGGACCGGTGGTAAACCTCTTCCAACTAGGTAACCTTCGTCAGCTTTTTGTCTGTGCATTTGCATTTTGTCTTGTTCCGAATAAATAGCTACCGAACGTATGCCGAGTTCGTTGCAAGCACGAAAAACACGTATGGCGATCTCCCCTAAATGATAATTAATAATAATCATAGATGAACACATAATTTTCAATTTTTTTCTAATTCTATTCAAAAACATTAAAAAGTATTACTACAATTTTTTTGTTGATAATAGTACAAATTTATTTCAAATATTTTATTTCAAACAACAATATCTCTCATGAATTTTATCGATCGCGTAGTGAGAGTATTGAAGTGATTAAAAAAAGAAAAAAAAAAAAAAGAAAGAAAATAAAGTAGTGATTCAGGAAAAAGTAATCTATCAATCAGAAAGACATTTGAATTACATTAGACGATGAGCTTTGGGAATTTCATTAAGGATATTGCGATTTTATCTAGCCTTTCCGAGGGAACATATTTTTTGTATTGTTGTTTGTTTGTTTGTTTGTTTGTTCCTTGAATTAATACCTAACCGATCAAAGTCCAGATCGATCGAAGCAATACTTTCACAACAAGTTAAGTTGTATTATTTAAATAGACAGGATGAATGATCGTTTGTTGAATTAAACGTCAAATTTAATCGATATAATTTTGTCACTCTTATCACGAGTGAAATCCACGTGATACGTCACGTCCAGTGATTTTTTATGATTTTGAGGCTTACCCGTTATCGTAAGCGTTAGTCAAATAAGTTGGACATTCGTGAGGGATTAGGAGTTTTTTTTTTGGACCAACATGTTGGATTGGTTGCCAAGGGTATTGAGCTAAATAACTTCTCTATCGTAATGGAGCCAAACGTTTCGATGGGTCAAAGCCGGCAAATAATATCTCAAATTATATTTTTAGATCAATTCGGTTGTGGATTAAACGTTTTTTTCTTTTTTTTTTTTTCTTCGCGTTCATTTTATTTCATTTATTGTTATATTATAATATCAGGGTAGACCAAAAGTTTACGTGCGTTTTTTTTTTTTAAATTAATATAATAATATATATATAATTTGGGGTAATGTGAAAAATATAATAAATTTTAATAAAAACAATCCCATTATATTATGCAATTTATAAAACAATTTTGTAATACAATAAACGCGCACGAACTTTTTCCTCGCTTTAATAATTTTTATCGATAATTAATTAATAATAAATAATATTGGCTTACCTCGATTCGCCACCAAAACGCTTCTGATAGGTTTGTATTGAACATCTTTGGCGAATAATTTTTTGCTGACGACAGTCCATGTTCGTAATATCGTTTTGTGCCTTAACAAGGCTCGTTGGGCTCTTATCGATTGCATGTTAGATAATTCTAAATTATTATATTATAAATATACGGATAAATTGTTTTTCCTTTTTAATTGCACTTTTTGTTTTTCAAAATTATAATCTTGATATTTAGATATATGTATATATATATATATATGTTTATATTGTTGATCGTTGTTCCATAGAATTAATTCTTTTAATTCAAATAATCGTTAAGTCAATGTTTAATATTTCTTTCCAATTTTTCGGGTCATTTTTATATATTTTCTCCTTTTTCTTGTTTCTTTTTTTTCTTATATTTATTTGTTTAAAAATAGAAGTTTATTTTATTCCCGTCGTCGAATGGTTTTTATTGTATCTTCTTGCAAATTTTTCTTTTTTTATTAATAACAAAACGAGAGAGAGACGGGGACGACGAGTATCTGAAAAATAAAAATAAAAAAAAAAAAAAAAAGGAAAAAGAAAATAAGAATAAATTAATTACGAGAGTGATGACAAATATCGATGGATAAATTTTTCTTCTTTTTTTTTTCCCTCCCCATTGCTAAAGAATATTCTGTGCTTTCGTTAAAGCTTTTATCATACTTTATCAAAACAATAACGTATGATCGTTCATAATAATTAAAATCGTCCGACGTTTTCAGACCATATGTTCAGAGTTCAGTATATCCTATTTAAAATTATTAAATGTCACGAGAGGCGAACATAATTAACTGACTTTACGAGATAATCCAGGAAAAGGATTCATATCTGATAGGATAAGTTAAAAAAAAATAATGGAATCTCTAAAAGTGTCTACGGTCATTGACCTTTTCTCGATCACACTTTATACACATGTGATACTGATAACGAATCTCTTATTCAAATATTAATAATAATAATTATAATCATCAATTATCCAAAGTTTTTTATAACAAATATTGATTTTTAAGAAATAAAAATGTATAACCTTATTAGACTGATTTTCTTATACGTTATGATTAATA